ATTTGGCTGGGCTGGCTTCCCGTTTGGACGTGTTGGACGTGGTACCCCTTTGCAAGCCCCTGAGTGGGTCTCTGGAGAAGCAGCGCAAGCAGGGCCTCCCCCCAAAAAAAGGAATAACCCACACAATGCAGGAGGGTTGGCAGCTGCAGGTTCCTTCCTCTGTAGGCAGCACGCAAAAAAACCTACGGTTGCCAACCTCCAGGCAGGACCTGGGAATGCACTAAAATTACAACCGATCGGTTTCCACGGAGGAAAAAGGTCAGCTCTGGAGACTGTATTCTACGGCATCAGATTCCTGCGGAGCTCCCTCTCCACGAATCGCTCCCAAACCCCTAGTAATGTTCCAACCGGGAGGTGGCAACCCAGCCCCCCCTTACCATCGCACCAGGACGGCTCCGCCCCCCTTCCGCGCGCGGCTGATGAAGGCGGCGCAGGCGTCCAGGTGGCTCAGCAGGTCGCTGAGGGGCTCATCCAGCAGCGGGACGCGCAGCACCGCTTCCAGCTCCCCCTCGGCGGCGGCGGGCGGCTCCGAGTCCACCAGCAACAGCGCCGTGACGACTCCTCTCCCGGCCTCCTCGGCGTCCGCTAGGCCGCAGCCTAAGTACAGGCCTGGAAGCACCGGCACCATGGCAACGCCGCACCGGAGCTCACCGCCAGAGCGGGAAGCGCCGCCTCTGGCCCACGCAGCCTCCACTTCCGCCCACGCGTGACGGAAGAGGCGGTCCGCTGTGCAGGGGGCGCGGCCTGAAGAAGCCCCTCCCACTCTGGACAGAAAGTGGGGTCGGCCTAGTCCAAAGAGGGCCAGTCCCGGTGCTGTTTGCACGAGCAACTCCGGTATCGAATGGAGGGGCGACTTTTTGCCAACTAGATTGATTCAGGTGTGGGTAGCCGTGAGGGTCTGAAGCAGTAGAACAAATTTAGAGTCCAGTGGCACCTTTAAGACCAACAGAGTTTTACTCAAGGTATGAGCTTTCGTTTGTAATAGCAGACTTTCATTGTATCTGAGGAAGTGTGCCTGCACACGAAAGCGTCTTGACTATATCTTCGTTGGTCTTAAAGGTGCCACTGGACCAGTGTTCCCTCTAAGCTGAGCCAGTGTGAGCCGGCTCACAGTTTTTTAGACTCCAGCTCACAGATTTCTGTCTTCGCTCAGGAAGTGACACTCTTCCATTGTATCTGAGGAAGTGTGCGTGCACATGAAATCTTATGCCTTGCATATAACTCTGCTGGTCTTAAAGGTGCCTCTGGACTCCGACTTTTTTTCTAGTATTGACAGAGATTCCCAAGAGGTGGAACGATGCTGCTCCACGTGCACTGCCGAGACTTCAGGCTGTGTGAGACAACCGTCTGTATGGATGCCTGCCGGGCTGGCAGCATGGCATGTAAGGCAAAGATGTTCCACCAGGCATTTGGTTGAGGACAGTGATGGTCTCATCCTTGGTTGAGGACAGTGATGGTGTTGTGTATGCTGGCCGCCACCGGGGGCCAGCGTGCTCTTATGCCTTGCATATAACTCTGCTGGTCTTAAAGGTGCCTCTAGACTCCGACTTTTTTTCTAGTATTGAGGGAGATTCCCAAGAGGTGGAACGATGCTGCTCCACGTGCAATGCCGAGACTTCAAGCTGTGTGAGACAACCGTCTGTATGGATGCCTGCAGGGCCGGCAGCATGGCACGTAAGGCAAAGATGTTCGGTTGAGGACAGTGATGGTCTCATCCTTGGTTGAGGACAGTGATGGTCTCATCCTTCTGGCACTTCCATCCCCCCCC